CGGGCGTGATGCTCGGCCGTGAACGATCCACGGGCACGATGCACGGGCGCGATGCACGGGCACGGTGCACGGCCATGAACCATGCACGGCACGACGCACGGGCACGATGCACGGGCACGACGCACGGCCACGACGCTCGGCCATGAACGATACAAGGCTGGATGCACGGGCACGACGCACGGCCGTGAACGACGCACGGGCACGACGCACGGGCACGACGCTCGGCCGTGAACGATGCACGGGCACGACGCACGGCCGTGAACGATGCACGGGCACGACGCACGGGCACGACGCTCGGCCATGAACGATACACGGCACGATGCACGGGCACGATGCATGGCCTTGAACGATGCACGGGCACGACGCACGGGCACGACGCTCGGCCATGAACGATACACGGCACGATGCACGGGCACGATGCATGGCCTTGAACGATGCACGGGCACGCGCTCGGCCACGAACGATGCACGGCACGACGCGCGGGCACGGCGCTCGGCCATGAACGATGCACGGCACGACGCACGGGCACGACGCTCGGCCATGAACGATGCACGGCACGACACACGGGCACGATGCACGACCATGAACCATGCACGGGCACGACGCGCGGCCACGACGCTCGGCCATGAACGATGCACGGCACGACACACGGGCACGATGCACGACCATGAACCATGCACGGGCACGACGCTCGGCCATGAACGATGCACGGCACGACACACGGGCACGATGCACGACCATGAACCATGCACGGGCACGACGCTCGGCCATGAACGATGCACGGGCACGACGCGCGGGCACGACGCTCGGCCATGAACGATGCACGGCACGACACACGGGCACGATGCACGACCATGAACCATGCACGGGCACGACGCGCGGGCACGACGCTCGGCCATGAACGATGCACGGCACGACACACGGGCACGATGCACGACCATGAACCATGCACGGGCACGACGCTCGGCCATGAACGATGCACGGGCACGACGCGCGGGCACGACGCACGCCCATGAACCATGCACGGGCACGACGCTCGGCCATGAACGATGCACGGGCACGACGCGCGGGCACGACGCACGGCCATGAACCATGCACGGCCACGATGCACGGCCACGACGCTCGGGCATGAACGATGCACGGGCACGACGCACGGGCACGACGCAGCACGGGCACGATGCACGGGCACGACGCACGGCCACGAACGATGCCAGGGCCCACGGCCACGAACCATGCACACGGGCACGACATAGGCCACGAACGATGCAAACGGGCACGACGCACGGCCACGAACCATGCACACGGGCACGACGTAGGCCACGAACGATGCAAACGGGCACGACGCACGGCCACGAACCATGCACACGGGCACGACGCACGGCCACGAACCATGCACACGGGCACGACGCAAGGCCACGAACCATGCACACGGGCACGACGCAGGGCCACGAACGATGCAAACGGGCACGACGCACGGCCACGAACGATGCACACGAGCACGACGCACGGCCACGAATGATGCACACGGCACGACGCACGGCCACGAATGATGCACACGGCAACACCCACGAATGATGCACACGGGCAAGACTTGGGACTTGTTTGTCGTACACGACTTCTTCTTGTGCACACAGGTCATGGCATACGGTCGGAACATATAACTTAGCATATCATGAGCTACCACACCACCATCATTAGTTGAAGGAATGCGAAAATTTCCATTTACAACGGACACGGGGGTCGCTTGTGAAAACGCGACTTTTTCGTTTGCACTCGAGTCATGTCAAGAGTTGGCATGTTGGTCGAACCAAGTGCCAAGGCGCATGATCCACATCCACTCGGGACACTACCAAGCGCACCATTCACATTCCATAAGCACATTGCCGGCTGAACCAACCAAGTTCCTCGGAGCATTTTCCTCGTGTCTTATGATACATCGTCTCGAGTCACTTTTTGTCTGTGTGACCAAGGCACGCGATCCACATCCACTAAGCACGTTGACTACTTAATTAGGCACAATGTCCACACGGACCAAGGCACACGATCCACATCCACTAGGCACGCTGACTACTTAATTAGGCACAAGATCCACACGGACCAAGGCACACGATCCACATCCACCGGGCACACGATCAAGCGCACCATTCACATTTCAAAGGCACGTTGCCGTCCGAACCATCCAAGTTGCTCGAAGCATTTCCCTCATGTGCCTTGGTACAACATGACTGACGTCACACTAGGCACAAACACGATCCACGTCCATTTAGGCCGGATCAAGTTCCTCGGACCATTTCCTATTGTGCCTTGGCACGAGTCATGGTTGGCACGATCGATGCATACGCTCGGAACTTGTAATTAGTCCCAAGTGCCACGTTATGACCAGCGACCCTCGATGTTAGTTTGGGGAAGAGAAATTTATTGGTTTGTTTGTGGAGTTAAGATTTGGGGGGAGGGACGAATCGAAGCGACAAGGGCTGAATCTCAGTGGATCGTGGCAGCA